ATGTGCCTGAGCACTCAGGATGCAGCTGTGAGCAAAACATGCAAAACTTTGTGCCCTCCTCGTGCTTCAAGGAAGAGAGTCCAACAGTAAAGAAGCCAGTGCCACCTGTGGTGCAAAGGTGACACACCAGGCAGGAAAAGGGAGAGTAATGGCAGTCTTATAGGATATCTGGGGAAGCTATAATGAGAAATGGCATTTAAGTAAAGCCCCAGATGAAGTGAGGAAGTCGGTCATGTGTGTCTCTGTGTCTCTGGGGTAGAGAGTTCCAGGTTGAGGGAGCATCAAGTGCAAAAGCCCTGAGTCAGGTACTCACTGAGCATATTGCAGGAATAGCACAGAGTTCCCTGTGGGTGAAAGACAGTGAGGTCAGAGTGAATATGAGTCAGATCTTACAAGATAGTGCTGTCCAATAGAACTTTCTGAGCTGTTGCAAATGGTCTACACTGCACTGCCAGCTATAGGTGTTAACCACCTGTGGCAACTGAGCACGTGGCATGTGGTGGTTTGGCTGAGGAACTAATCATTAGGTGTATTTGATTTTAGGTGATCTCAGTTTCAGTAGTTCCGTGTGACTATGGCTGCCATGCTAGTCAGCCCAGATGTGTGCTGTTGGCTGCTTGGAGGCCTCTGGTCTTGACCCTCAGTGAGACAAGCCCAAGGGGCCAGGGATGAGGTCAGGTCTGACCCATGTCTCAGCGAGTAAGCTCAGGTGTTGTGTTCAGTTCTGACCCTGCTCTGCCAGCTGCTCTTTGGGCACTGGGCCCCCCACGTTATGCGATTTCTCTATACCAAATCTCAGAGAAACCATATTCCACAGGATTCAATGTGAAGAGGAATGAGTGGCAGAAGCCCCTGCACCTATTAGCAGGTCTGCACCTTTACAATTGTCATTGTTGAATGACCTTGCTTGTAGAAAAATGCTAAAGCCCAGACATGCAGAAAGAAAAAAATCACCAACGTCCTCACCATCCAGAATCATCTAATTTCTAACGTTCTACTCTTATTTTTCATTTGAATTTTTATAAACATCTTTCTAGGGCAACAAGTAAACATTTATATCATTGTTTTCTGTGAATCTATAGAACTCTATGTAGAATTCTTCTGGGATTTTGCTGTTTTTAAACAGTGCTGTTAAGAACACTCTTGAACAAACACCGCTACATTCCTGGAAAGTGATCCTCTTTGGGGAGCCCTGCATTTGAGCCACCCATCTTCTGTCCCACCCTGCTCTGTGTGCTCCCACTCTTTCCTTGGGGTCACACAGAACAGCGTGCCAGATGAGCAAGCAGAATTTGGGGGGAATGGGAAGGCAATGCAAGGCCCAGAGGGGGCCGACAGGGGGACTTTATGTGAGGTCTTGAGTGACTCCAAATGACACACCAGAGCCCAGCTTTGCACCCCGAAAATGGCATCTTCACAGTCCAGGCTCAGTAGCCAAGTGAATTGGGATGTGTGAAACATATCATGCCTGGCATTATGACAATCTTATTAAAATATCCTAAGGAAGAAAACCCCAAGGGGACAAGAGCTGTCGCTCTGAGTGGAGGTGTTAGAACTGGGCAGAGAATGGGCCCATTGTATGAGGTGCCGGTGGACCAGCAGGCAGAGCCAAGGGACTCAACAGCCCCTTCCTCTGCCGGTGCCTGCTCAGTGCTGGCTGCCACAGAGGAGGCTCCCGCAGGAACTGTAAGCCCCCTTGGAATGCTGTCAGTCTTCCTTGCAATTCTCTAATCTGATGACCCATGAAGAGGATTTTTAGGAACAGCTGCTGTGCGTGATGGATTTCTTGGTGCTGGTGGTTGTGTGTGTTTTTCCCGATTTGGCTTATTGGTATCCACGCAGCCTCGCCCAGGCTGGCCTCCTCTCATCTCCTCTCCTCCCTGTTGGTGGCACGATGCCCACGGCCACTTATACCCACAGAACAGCCGCCGATGGAAGACAGAACATAAAATGAACCGGGCTGTTTCTGTCTGCCCTGTAATTTGCCTGAAGTTTTAAAATCTATTTTAATCAAAATTGACTAATTATTTTGGTACCATGTAGCCACAACTTTGCGATTTACAGACTGTGGTTCCCTTACGCTTCTAAATAAAAATCTGTGAAGATTTGGGGGGAGTGCCCTGAAATCTAATTCTTTGCTCCAGGGGCTTGAGGTATAATTCTAAGCAGATTTCAAAAACGGAAGTTGGATCTCAGTGTACCTATGTGGTCTGTGGCAACAGTTCACATGGCACATGCCTGGGGAAGCTCTCACTGCCCGCTACTCTCCCTGGCCACCCTATTGCCATCATGAAACAGACCAGTCCAGACCAGTCATTGGAATCCCTGGCATGGGCAGGGCAGAGAAGACACCTCACCTTTGGGCAAGATGCACCTGAGCCAAAATGGGGTTTGCTTTCAGCAGGGGTTGCTGACCAGCACAGCTTACACTACAAAGTTCTGGAAGGAGTGGCCACTGATTGGGCAGTTCTGGGATTTGGCAAGACGTTTAGCTCTCAGAGCCCAGTGTTGTCCTTCATAAAATAGAAATAACAATAAAAATAGTAACTACACCTATTTCCAGAGTTGCCATGAGACTCCAGCCAGTGCAGGTATATAAAACTCGTAGTAAACTGAAACAAACAAAAAGCCCTACAAAAGCTAAGAAACGAAAATACCCATAGACAGAGTTGTTGGCCATGTGCAAGCACTTCCACCTGTAGCATCCTGATGGGTTGGTGTAAAGCTCATTAGCTCCGTGTCTGTGTCCTGTGCTGAGAGAGGTGGTTGCTCTTTTATACCTGATCCTCCACCCCTCCCAGGGGCCCTCTGGTCACCGTCACCCCTGCCCTGGGACTGTCACTACAGGTGCCTCCCTTCCCAGACCTCACCAGCTCCTCGTGCAGAGGACCCTTTGCATTGCGGCTAAGCCACCCAAAGGTGCTGACACTCTCCTGTTTCCAGAGTGAGAGTCTGGAGGCCAAGGTAGCCTTGACATATGGCTGCTTGTCTGGAGACACACAGCCATGAAGACACTCAGGCCCAGCCTAGAACACTGCACCCCTCCATTCAGATCAAAGATGTTGGCTTCCCAGCAGGCTGACACATGCACATCTCTCCCTGGCCAGCCCTCCAGCCCCGGGTCTCACCTGTGAATTGTCCATTCCAGGGGTGGCTCAGTGCCATTTCCAGATAGTCATAAGGACCATGATTCTCATTTCCCTTCATTGTTTGAGAGACCTTATGGAAAGCAGTGCTACAGAGTGAAAAGCATAGAAATTTCACAGACCGGGCTCTGTCTCGGGGAAGCCCTGTGGTCCAGACTCGTGGAGTGGCTGGCACCCCAGGGGCCAGTGTCTTCCTAGGGTAGAGAACCTGCTTGGTAGGAAGGAGCCAGCTCCCTGTGACAAGGGATCCCTCCCAGTCTCTGACCCATGGTGGGGGGGCGGTGTGCATGTGTGCAAGTGTGTGATGGGTGGATGGGGACTGTGTAGACAGTGCATAGCCCACTTCAAGCACCGGGCCTCTGGAGAGGGTCCTTGTTTGTTTTGAATGAGACCAAGAGAATGTGCCTGTTCTCCCTCAACGACACAGAAACAGAATACTAATGGGAAGTTCCCATTAATTCCCTGCAGCCCTGTGGCTGTCTGCACACTGACAGGAGGCTCTGAATGGCAGTGATACGTGCATTTAGTTAACCCAAATAGGGAGGCGGCCCATGGCCCCCTGGGGACTTCATCTGTCTGTCCGTGCACCAGAATGTCAGGGGCAGCACACAGTGGCACTGCTGGGGTGGTCGTGGCAGTGATGGCGTCCACATAGCACAAGGCTCACTCACACTCAGTGTCCACCTGGGTGTTTGGGGCCTCAGGTCAGTGCCTGCCCTGAAGCCACCTGAGGCAGTGACCAGGCTGTCTGCAGCGCGCACCGAGTGCCTCTGCCCGCCCTACAGCCGGAGGCTGTGTGTTTAACCACCTCTGGCACTGGCAAAGGGAGTGAGGAAGCTAATGACCCTCTCAGGAAGAGATGCTCTGGTTCTTTTTTAGGAAACAAAATCTGGAGTAAAATGTGATTCTGTCTTTGTATAAAATAAGCACGGAGATACGCTGGCCCTGGTTTTTGGATGAACCAGCATAAGTGTGCCATGTTTTAATGAGGAGAAAAGATTCATGATGGGGACCCAACAAATGGAACAACCCATGAGGCGAAAAGCATCCTGTAGGCACAACATCTAGAGGTGGGGGTGGTGGGGGGACACCAGCTGTCTAGCATCCTGGAGCTAGGGAGCCTTCTGCAGGGAGGTTTGATCCATGGTTCCCATACTTGGTGAGTGCTGGAGTCTTCCGAGCTGCTTTTTACAAATCCCTGTGCCAGTCCCTGAACCCTGCACCAGACTCCCTAGGAGGTTCTGCCAGGCCTGGGATGAGCCCATGGGCTTGCCAAATGGCCTCATCACAGAGCTGCTTTCTCATGAAGCAGCCATCAGCTCCTCTGGAAGGAACGTGGACACCCAGGGTTGACGCTAGGCCCAGCAATGTCCTAACTCAGATCAGAGTCTGAGGAAATGAAGGGGTTTCAAGGAATGTCCCCTTGCCCCAAGCGGCCCCTGCCTAGCCCTGTAAACCAGTTTGAAGTCTTAGAATAAAGAAAGGAGTCCACATGCTGGTGAGTGTGCCTTCTGAATGTGCCCATCCCATCCTCGCATAGGTTAAATTTCTGTCCCCATCCTGTGTCCCTGGATCCCAAAGATCTGTGAAATAATGGACTTATGTAGTATTTGATCTTCTATGGAACCCAAGAGCCAAGTACTTGGAATTTTTCTCCTCCTATTCTTGATAAAGTTTTCCTTAACTGGGGCCTTCCTTTCTTCCTTTCTCGGAGAAGGAATCTTCCTTCCTATCACTGCACAGTAGCATCAGTGACCATCCCAGTTTCGACATCCACATTTGGGGCATTGTAGAGTGACTCCATTGTTAATGATCTCTTCTTCTGTCCCATCCCTGCCCATTTCTCTCTTGCAGAGCGACTACTCAAGTGACACAGAGAGTGAGGACAACTTCCTCATGATGCCCCCAAGGGACCACTTGGGCCTCAGCGTCTTCTCCATGCTCTGCTGCTTCTGGCCTTTAGGCATCGCGGCCTTCTACTTGTCCCATGAGGTAAGCCTCTCTCCAGCGGCCCCACATGCAGCACAGTGAGGCCACTGAGGAGGAGAGCCCGAGAAGACTGTGCAGCTCAGGTTTTCCCACGTGGCCTGCATTGTATGGAGGACAGGCCCAGGAGAGAGAGAGATCAGGAGGCCTCACCTCGGCGTACTGGGACTGCTTCATGGCCCCCAGGGCAAGGCAGGCTGTCCTCAGGAAGAGGGCTTCCTGACAAAAGCAGGCTGGGATGTGGGATGGACTCAGCCCTGGGAGGCACCCTAGACTTGCTGGGAAAGTAGGTGGGGCATGGGGGTGGATCTCTCTGCAGTCAGTCTCATTCATACAAAATAGGTTCTAGTTTCCAGCAGTCCATGTGTGCCCCTCCCTAGCTGAAGTTTTGCTGGAGGACATGGCCCATCGGATGGTGAATCTTGCCCTCCTTCCTTCAGCATGAGGGCTTCTGGGGGTCAGTACCCAGGCCTTTTTCATGCAAAGCATCCTTCTTGTTGTGCCTTCATGGAAGATAGGCTGAAAGATATTCTCTAGCAAATGAAGAGTACTCGCGTAGAAACAGTCTCAGTCCCGGTTTTTGTTAGTCTGCCAGCCACAGAGTGTCTCAGCATCCCCACAGCCACACCGTCATCCCAGCCAGACCATAGGAAGGCGGCTCCCTGGATCAGCGGGGTGAGCGCAGAGCCCACAATCATGTGTGTCCTTGGGGCATGCCGAGCATCCCTCAGCAGCCAGTGCTCCCTTTCCTGCTTCTAGGATTCTGGGGCTCTGGCAGGTCTTGGGTTGGAAACATTTATTTCTCCTGGCTTGAAAACAGGTCTCCTGGCTGAGTCCAGCAGTGACCTCTCACTGCTTTTTACAGGGTTCTGTGCTGACCTCATTTTGTTTGGTGAGAGGAGAGTCCCTTGATACATTTTCCTTTCTCTCCTCCTTCCTTCTGTGACATCATGGAGGAACAGGGAAGAGCAGTGAACACCCCTGAGAACAGATGCTTCTTAGCAGGGACTCTGGAGAGACCCCTCCAGGAAGTAATGAAGCAGGCCCGCCTCCCAGCCCTGCTCTGTAGTCCAGATTCTACAAGCTATTGGGTGGGGCCAGATGGAGGATGGGGCAGTCCTGCACTGCTGGGGTTGTGTTGAGCGGTTGTTCCTTATCCAGCTTGGCCTGGGGGATCTGTCTGACCTTCACTTTTGTGAGTTTATCCTACAAATGCCAAAAACACCCTTCTCTGGGGAAATAGGCATGGGCCAGGGAGCAAGACTCCAGGTCTGGCAGAGGCCTGGGTAGCTGTGTGGGGGGAGTCAGACCTGGGTATACCTCGACCCCAAGAAGGGGACATGGGCACTACTACATGGGCGAGGATTGGGGCACACAGTGGGGTTGGGAGACAGACGTGTACACAGATGCCCTCAGTGTGCAGAACATGCTCTGAAGAAGATCCCCAAGGCCCAGAGCCTGTCCTCTCCTGTGTAAACTGCACCCGGAACATGTGTGAGCAAGCTGCAAAGGGTAGTCTCACTATTAGAAAAGGAAGGACAGGAGTATGGGACATAGAGAACCAGCTTCTCCCACATCACAGGGCATTCAGGCTTTTCCCATGAGATGATGTGTGACATTAGCCTTCTCCCATGAATCCCAGTCCCGCCAACTGTAGTGGTAAGGCGGGGCAGGTCACTCTTAACCTCCTGGGTCAACCCAGCTGAGAAAGCCCTTTACCTACCTTGTCTGGCGTTGTTGGGAAGTACCATTGACATCAGAGCTATATTTTGATTGCCAAATTTTACAATGGGATAGTTTCCCCTTGGATTACATGGGGGCAGATGTTACCTGCTCAAAGGTGTGGCAGCCGACATCAGCGTGAATGTGCAGACAGGGCGCTGGGCAGAAATGAGCTCTGGTAAATGACTGGCCACAGGGAAAGGCTGGAGAGGCTGCCCTGTCTTGGCGGCTCCACATCCTAGGTGAGGCCCCATCTCTGGAGCAGGACGAACTGTGCACAGGGTCTCTGTCTGAAAGATTGCAACTATAATAAATATCAGGGCCACAACTGCCAACGCTGGCATTTAGGTTCTTTCTCGGAAAGTAATTTTATTCTTCACACCTTAAGAACCTCTTACTTGGGCCTGATGTGTCATGATGGTTAACACCTTTGGTTGTAAAGACCATTCTGATTATTCGTTTCACAGCGAATGTGAAATGCAGTGTCTGTGGAGGCCTCTGGTCACACTGCTCTGAAGAGAAAAGCAAATACTTTTGAATGCCTGCAGCATTGAAATTAGAGGACGGGCTCCGGGGTCCCTCCAACTCCCAGGCTCTCAGTCCTTCTTTTCCTAGTACTGTGAGCATGGATTTCCTTCAGTGGAACCCCAGCAAAGAAAGGGTACTACATCTTTGGGAGAACTCTCTGCAGGTTAGTGCCTATCACAGGACCCATGTCCCGAACCTTCTCCCCACAACGCTTGCTGTTTGACAGCCTAGAGCTTTGGCAGCTCAGGGCTTTCCTGCAGATCTGGGGGACACCCAGCCCCGGGCACATGGTGCTCCAGCCCAGCCATCAGGCTGTTGCGCATTCTGTGTGTCTCTTCAGCCCAACTGCAGACACAAAATCTGCAGCAGGCATTGGAGGGGAGAGGATGGGGCACACCATAGAACAGACACTCTGAGAGTCATTACACTTGATTAAATCAGTGCTCTCCTGAGCAAAGGCAGCTGGGAGAGCTCTCCCTGCATGCACTGGAGAGAGGAGAGCCCAGAGCAAGCCCATTTCTCCGGGGTCCTTTGTGGGCTGCTCCCAGGGCCTGCTGCTGCCCTCAGGTGTGGGGATACTGAGGCAGGGAGGTCACAGCCATCTGGGAAGACAGGACCCCTCACATTGCAAATGCTATTCACAAGGAAATCTTCGATGCCTAAGTGTGATTTGGGGTGATTTCTTTTCCTTTTTTCATAGATCAGATCTCAGTGTAGTCACTGACAATTACATCATGTCTGTGTGTTGTCAAAATAATCACTCAGCAAGCCATTCAGAAATGTGTGAGTCCATTCCAGGCAAACAAAACAAAGCAAATCTCAATGAATAGATGCCACAGGGCAGTGGGGAGGAGAATTAATAGGTTCCCTGGACTTACAAAACCTGGCTTATTTTTTATTCTGCCTTATTCCAGCTGGGTCCAGGTCAGCAGGCAACTTTACCACACCTCAGCTTCCTGATCCACAAAATGGTATCAGAATAGCCTACAGCATGTAGCCAGTTAGGCCACAGAAGTGAACATAGAGAGATGGTCCCTGCAAGGTTCCTGCAAAGTATCAGGGGCTGACCATGCTCTACTGGAAATCCCAGTTGTCTATACCCATGTGGGTCCCTCGTGAAGGGAGACCTGGAAGGAGACAGAGGATATTTTCTCCAACAGATTTTATAATTCAAATAAGGTTAGTTAAGTAATAGGAACAATAGTACTGAAGGTGTTAGCAAGCTAGGTGATAACTGCTGAGCACGTCATAGGTGCTGGTCCCACGTTAAATACTGTGCACATGCTTTCTCGGGGCCGGGTCCTGACCAGCAGCATCAACACACCAGCACAGTTTGCAATGCACGTTGCCTGACCTCACCGAAGACCTGCTGGGTCAGAGCATCGGGGAAAGGGCCTGGTAATCTGCATTTGAGCATAGGGCATCTGTGATGCAGCACTGCCATCATATCACTCTCTGGGCCATGAAATCGGGGCTCAGCAAAGTCGGATGTTGTCCTAAGGTCAGGGGTGTTTGGCCATGCACTGAGATTACTGGTATGGCCTGGTGCAGAGCACCTCTGGAGGAGGCAACTGCCTGGGCCCACGGGGATGGAGGACTCAAGAGTCCACGTGGAGGCCGGTGGGGGGAGGGGCATAACATTTGTCCACAGCCTTGTTTTACTCCAGCTGCATCAGTTGTCTGACCCAGCTCTCAATGCAAGCAGGTTTTATAAACCAATTCATAGGGCAGGAAGTGTCGTGTACAATGTTGGTAGCTCCATCTAGGAACCGAGGCTTCTGAATAATGTGGAGGATAGAAATGAAGCCCTAATTTGCTGAGTGCCTGCTGGGAGCTGGTTACTGAGCACATCTTTTCTTATTTAATCTTTGTGATGAGTTTGAAAGGTGGGCAGTTGTTATCGTTTTATGGATGAGAAAACTTAAGTTTCAAAGCGTTAAATGATGTATAGAAATTGGAGAGATAGCAAGTATGGGTACATGAGGTAAATAGCAATATTTCTAACCCTTAAAACTCAATCTTCTGCAATATAGTTTGACTTTTATCTGTTTGCAAACAAAAATAGTAGTACAGTACTTGTTTCTAAATCCACCATGCCTTACTGCGCTTAAAGCATGTTGTAGTAAGAAAGAAAGGTCCATTCTAGACAGGATAGCGGTGCTTGCCCTCAGTACCTTTACCTTTACTCAATCCCACAGGGCAGGTGCTATCAAGACAGAGGTTGGGGACCCTCCCCCAGAAGGCCTTGGGTCTGGAGCTGAGCCCCAGACAGGCTGGAGGGTTGCATGGGCTGCCTCTGTGGCAAACATCTCCTGCATTCCAGTAGTTATTATGTCTTGATTTCATTCCATTTTATAAAGTGTTTCTTTCTTTTACTAACTGCAAAATTATAACGGAAATTAAATGAGAAAAGGGTATTAAAACCAGATTATGAATAGCACCAGCAAAGGGAATTAGAAAAATTAGGGAGAAAAAAGAGGAAACTCTGTATATGAAAAATAGAAGAATGAGAGTACAACCCAGCCTATAAGAGTGTCCTTAAATACAGTCATTCATCTGCTATTTATTGAGCACCTACTATGCGCCAGGCCCTGCTCTGTGTGCAGGGATGCAGCGGTGAACAAAGCAGAACTCCACCTTCACAGAGTCAACATTCTCATCAAGAAAAGTGGAGAACACACACACATAAACTTCAAGTGTCCAATAGAGATACATTATACAAGAGAAAAATTAAGTAGGAAATGGATATGGAGCAT